AGAAAATGGGCGCACATTTTAAAGTTAATAGTTTTAATGTTTCCTCCTTCTTGTAGAGGTAAAAAGAGTGTCCTTTAAAATCATTGCTGGAGAAAACTCCTAAGAGAATATGGAGCTTTATAGCTTAGAAAAACCCAATCAAACAGACTTTAGAATTGATGACAGTATGCTGAAAGCTTGTGTGTTTCTAGAGCATCTGGAAAAGCCTGGTGCAGCCTGGTGGGCTTCTGACCATATTCCCCAGTGTCACTTTTTCTGAACAGATGTGAAACAGTACCGGCTGGTGATTTCCCCCCCCTCCCCCAACAACAATTAAATTTTGTGTCATAAACTATAATTTTTTTATAGTTTGGCATCAAAGGCTTGGGAATCAATTGAGAGCCTTGGACTGATTGGTTAAGTTTTGAACTTTTCTTATGTGGAGTGTGGGGAATGGAACTTAACCTCAGAGTGTGTTAAGAGTGTTCCAAGTGCTTTTAAGTAAGTCTGCACTCAATAGGTATTTATTAAATGTTAAATGTATTAAGTGCAAAAAATATATAAACTTAAAAATTTAGAGACAAAACACCCCTTTTGTCCTAGCTGACTTAGGGATCATGAAATATGCCTTATTTTACTTTCCTTTAGCTCACTGCTTCATGTTCTTTTCCAGAACACTTTAGAATAATTTGGCTCAGATCATTGAATTTGGAGAATATTCAAGACCTTAAAAAAATAAGTAGTGAGCAGAATAATGAAGATCAGAATTGTTTTTATTATTTCCTGTAAGTGATGATATCACTAATATAGATAGGTACCATGTATTCTGGTTGCTGTTTATCAAGTGCTACACTGAATGTTTTGTAAGCATTACCTTATTTAATCCCTATCATAGCTCAAGATGTAGGTGTGATGTCCTCCTCATACACATGAGAACTTACATACTGTGTTAAGAATTATGATTAAGCTGATGACACTTCAAAGCCAGGACAGCACTGTCTCCAGGGAGCATCTGTGACTTAGTTACCTGTACTAATTTGTTTAACAGTATAGCTCTTTGTGATGCTGATGGCTTACGGACCATATTGAGGTGGTGGTTGGTGGTTAGAATCTTCGAACTATGGTATGCCTAACCAGAACGTGGGATGATCCAACAAATTGATTATGCTCAGTGACAGTTTTTTTTTTGAAATCATTTTTCTGGTATTCTGATTTTGACTTTCATCAATCCAAGACAGCTGTGAAATGACTGTTCAAATCAGTGTTTCTTTGCCTTGGCTACACAAAAGAATGACCTGGGAGCTTTAAAATGTAAACCAGAGAAAACAGAACACAACAACCCAAAGCCTAGTCCCCATTCCCAGATATCCTGGTATAAACTAAACAGCTCCTGGAGTCTTCTGGAGACCAGCTGAGTTTGGATCCAGTCCTGGGTTCTGGACTGAGGAACCAGGAAGGACTCGGATCCGTCTCCTGGGAATGTTAGTCACAGTCCTGCACAGCCTGGCTCTGCAGACTGGAGCTACCTCCACACCTCACTCCCTGCACCTTTTCCCCAGATACTTCTATCCCAAAGTGCAGGATGAGGAAGAGGTTAGCATGTGCCATCTCAGCATGATCTTCCAGAAAGTCCTGCTAAATTTTCTAGGGCTTAATTGATGCTTTGGATGTCCTGGATCCGTGTATTATCTGGTTTCCTATTCTGATTATCTCCCAGAGGCATCTGTCATGTTTGTAAAAGCCAAGAATAGATAAGTCCAGGACTTTGGTCACAGGTGCCATTTTCTTTCAGA